TATATGTATCAACAAATTATATATAATTCACAAGTTTTAATCCGTATTGTCACTCCAAGAATTATATATGGGTTAGATAAATTTGTTTTATTATATAATTAACATCTATAAAATAATATGAGAAGAACATTAGAAGGGGAAAAAAAAAATGAAAATCAAAGGTACGCAATTCTAAGTATTTATTGAGATATGTTATGGATTTTATTGGGTGGAAGTGGAAAAGACTAAAGAATTCTTACATTAAGCATGTGCGGTGTGCCGGAATATGAGAAGATCCGTTGGAATATTCGCCCCAGGTGGTTATGTGCGTAAAAAATGAAAGTTTGAATGTGCCCGTGCAACTTCTTTTAGTTAAGGTGGCAAAGTGCAAAAATAGAAAAAATTCAGGTGGCGAAATGCTATTAACCTTTTTCTTTAACATAAAATAAAGTGAAATAAACAGAGTTGGTATTAACTATTAATTAATAGAGTCTAGGGTTAGTCCTACTCTCATTTTATAATTTTCTTTCTGTAATATGATTAAAATTGAAGAAAAAGGGGATTTTTTTTTTGAATTTCTCTCTTGTACTTGAATGAAATGCAGAAATTTCCACAGAAATAGTGTGCAAATGTAGACACTAAACACATAAAAAAAATCTATCAAATTATTTAATTATCAACCAATATATATAATCACAACGAAAATATGACAGCCTAGACAAAATATAATGAATAGTGATATCCATGTAAATATTTCATATGATATCAAATTATCAAAACACTAAAAAATAAAAACATTATTACCAACACAATTATTTCCAAATCTTCCTTATATATAGCAACACCATTTTCATTACCATATCACCATTTTATTTTCCATCTTTCATTTTGAGGATAAAATTGTTCCTTTTTTATTATTATTATTATTATTATTATTATTATTATTATTATTATTATTATTATTATTATTATTATTATTATTATTATTATTATTATTATTATTATTATTATTGACCACCTAAGTAATTTTTGGCGTGTATTTATACAAACAAACATTAAATTATTAATTTGGAAAAAAAGAAAAAAAAAAGGATTTAATAATTTAATTGGAAATGTTTAAAATGTGCAGGTTGAGTTCTGGATATGCTTGGTACTGACACTATTCGGTTATCTCCCTGCCATCACCAAGTAGTCTCTTTTTCCATGGTAATTTTTCCAATCCCTTTTTTTCTATTTCAAATTTATACTTTTTTTATCATTTTATTAATTTGTTGCAATAAAATACAAGATTAACAAATGAATCAATTTTTTTCATGAATAACATAAGCTTTTTACAATTATTGGAACGGAATTTATGAATTCCACTCTGTTTCGATCCGAAAACTGTCTTTTAGAAAAATGCTTCTCATTTCGAATTATTCCAAATATTATAATTTCCATT